GCAAACCACACGATAAGATATATAGTGTTTTGTAGGGCATAGATTGGACTATTAATGGAATAAGATGATGCAATTAATAATATATTTGTGCAATATCTATTCGTAAATAAATTTATGCAATCGTGTATTTTGATTCATATAAATATACCTGAGGAAGTACTATTCCCAGTTTCATTTGTAACAACAATCAGTCACCATTCTGTTAATAATAATTTCTTGACAGAATTCTCTTTAAAATGACGGCATTTAATGTTGCGAACCCGTAATAAAGATGTTAGCAACTACATTTCAAATTGCATTTCAAATAACACAAACACCTATAACACCGTTTGAAATTGAAGTACGTAATGAAATTCGCGATATTCTACAAAATGTTCAAAATACTCGTTCGCGCGCGTGCGCGCGGTATTATTATTAGAACATGATTATGTGCTGGATTTTGCCGATCCATCAGAACCACATGGAGCACAAGTTGTAGAATATATTACGGCTGCAGAAAAAGAAGAAGATGAAGATAGTTTTGAACCTGAAGAATGTATTATTGACGATGAAGATGGCAAAGTCGACTTCAGTTATAAAGAAAAGCTGTTCAATTTTGGAAGGGTGGAAAAAAGGCCCGTCGAACTTTAACTAGTGTACAGTCCAAGTTTCGCAAGATTAAATCCTTAAATCAACTATACAGGTGGGAGACAAGTGTAGAGAAAAGTGGAACAAATGCAGATAAATTCGTATTTATTACGGGATACGTATTGGAGGGGTGATCCCGATTGATCACGGCTCGATTGGACACCACCAATCACAACGACCGGTGCTTAGGAGCTTTGTAGTCTCAAGCGCTGTGAGTGGCTCGTGTCCAATTGAGCCGTGTCCAATTGGGTGCCACCCCGTATTGGAAAAGTTTGAAGAAGCTTGTGATAGAAGATCTATTATTCATGACATGAATTTATGATTATAGGCCTTGAAGGCAAAGGACCAAATTGACTTAACCGAATTTAAAGCAAGTAAATGGTGGATTTGGAAATTCAAGAATGTGCACAAAATTGTTTCCAGCAAAATAACAACATTCAGGACTCAATTTACACTTGAAAATATTGGCAATCTAAAAGATGTCGCACAATCATTTGTTTTAAATGTAAGATCTAACATCTCAGCTACCGGAGTTGAAGAAATTTATAATGCAGACGAGAGTGGCTTCAACCTTGAAGTACATTCTGGGTGAATATTGGCGAAATCAGGAACAAAAACAGTTGAAGCAATGGTTCAATCAGTATCTTCTACAACACATAGTTCCATTATCATGCCGATTATTTCGGCAAGTGGATCTCTTCTTTCACCATTATATATAGTGTTGAAAGAAGCTACAGGAACATTTGGACCACGGGTGCAGAAAACTCTATTCTGCCCAGTTAATATTTACATTGAATCGTCGAAGTCAGGAAAAAATACAACAGAACACTTCAAGACATGGTTTAGTGAAGTGTATCTACCGAATACTGGCTGTAAAAGCATGCTTCTACTCGACTCGTGGACAGGACACTGTCCGAGTCAGCTAGAACAATACGAGTACATTCCTGAAGATAAAGGAGTAAAATTTATGACTATTCCAAAGAAAACGACGGGCTTCATTCAATCTTTAGATGTGTTTGGTTTTAGGATTTGGAAAAATTTTGTGCGGACGTTTTCCGATAATGTAATTCTTCAAGGAGAAGATATCACTTTACACTCGCGTAATGAAATAATTAAACTGCAATCATTAACTCATAACCAATTTTCTTCACCTAGATTCAAAAATCTCGTCCAATATGCTTGGTTTAAAAGCGGCTATTTAACAACGCATCCCAGCGAATTTCAAAACCCTGAAGATTTCTGTTATTTTAGAAATGAAAAGCATATAGTATTTGTGGAAGGACCGTTTTTATGCGTTGTACATGGTGTGGCGAGTATTTTTGTTTTCAACATTTTTATGAAGAATACCAATACTGTACCAATTGCAATCCATAATTTAGAGAACCTACGGATTTGTAGTATAACTCGCAATGTATAATTAAATTACAAAATATGTACAAAAAGAGATTATATCATTAGTATATTAGTATACAGTCAGGAGTCAAACACATCCGCATTATTGAAAATGTAATCGGAATTTTCAACAAGATTATCAGTATCACTCTGCACAATTTAATATTAAAATAGAGTTCCACACACTATCTTACCGTGCAGTTTGTAAAGTAATCAAATAAAATAACAAACAGTGTATGTATGCATGTATGTATGTATATATATATGTATGTTGCAGTTATTATGATTCATATACTGTTAGAAATGTTCTTAAATTTCATTAACTTTTAAGTTACACAATTGAATTTAATTTGAATTTAATTTCATGACATTACATTAAATTTAATGTATTTGTAACTAAAAAGTATATTTATGTATATGTACATAAAATTTAATGTATTTTTCATGAAAATTTATGAAATTTAATGTACTTTTCATAAAATTTTATTAAAAGTACATTAAATTTCATAAATTTAATGTACACGTTCATTACATTTAAGTAACTACTGTAACTTAATTTTCAGTTAAATCATTCATTATTTTTAATTTCGTTCATAACCACCAGCTTCATTTACATGTAAAGGAAGCTCGTGGTTACATTTCTAACAGTGTACGTCACTGCGACAATTTTTAATTAATTTGAGAGTTTTATCTTTCACACGGAAGTTGTAAATACTGTACATACCCAGGCACTTAACAAGGAAGTTAGGTAACCCAAAAATTCAGAAAATTCTGAAACAATGTGTGGAAATAGAGTAGTTCATCTGGAACATAAAACTATTTTTTATTCAAGCGGAATTACTGTTGATACAGTATCTTTCTTTTCCACTACGTTGCAAGTAGTTGTTCCTAAGACCAAAATTAAATGCATATTTTAAAAAAATAATAATTTCTTTATTCATGCTTTGTTTTTAATTGTCCAAAGCGTTTTGTGCATTCCTTTATACATTATAAAAATATTTGAGACTGGTTTTGCAAGCAGTTTGACAAATTATTATTAATAAAAAATATTATTACTATTATTATTATTATTATTTTATATTATTATTATTATTTTATAAAAGCTATTATTTAAAAGCTTTTATAGAATAGTTGCTGCTGTACTGATGGATTGTACTGTATTTGTCTTTCACGCTACTTCGCGCAGCCAACGCGGTATAAGACCAATACGTACACAGCTCGCAAATAGAGAAGTTTTCGTTCTTATTTGAAAAATGGTTTTTCGGAACACAATTATCATGTACAGTGTCGTTTTCAGCGTAAAATGCTCTTTAATTTTATGTACATCAACGTAAACAAATTCTTGAAAATAGGGGCGGTAGTGGGGGTATACAATAAATAATTAATTAAAAAAAAATTTTTTTTATTATACAGTTTTATGGTACTTATGAAGCCATTCAATTTTTTATTGGAAATTTTTTTGTATTCCTTATAGTTTCGACGATATTCGCTTCGAAAGAAAAAAACCGATTTTTTTCAAGGGGGTGTTTCACCCTCTAGAACTGAAATTCCGCACAAACAAAACATAATTTTGTGTTACGGGTAAACTACTCTACTTGCACACCAAGTTTCAGAATTTTTTGAATTTTTGAGTTGCCTAACCTCCTTTGTTAGCCAGCTCGACTATTGAGGCTTCGGAAATATTCCTCGCAATAACTGACATGTATAGTGATAGAACGCATTCTCTCATTACACATGTTACCGCGTTCTCTTATATGTCAGTTATTGCGAAGAATATTCCGACTCAGTAGTCGAGCTCGCTAAGACACTCGCTCCGGAAAGTCGAGAGGTCCCAGGTTCGAATCCTGGCTGAGGTAATATTTTTCGCAATAAAAGTTTCTTATTTGAAATAAAGGGGGGATTATATATACTCGCGATTGTCCGAATGTTTCAGCTCGCGATTATTAGCATCTCAAATTGATTGTGTTTTAATGTCCGAACGCTTCGGCGCACAGCCACATTTGAGATTAATTAAATTCATGAATCAAGAATATTATATTATTCGAAACTTTCAACTTTGACCGATCCTAAAGACGCTCTTTACTATACAAATAAAACAACATTCCGATTTTGATTGCTCATAATTTCGTTAAAAATTATCGTACCGTAATTAATAAAACAAGTTCTTAAAGCTGAAACGTTGCTCTATCAAATGATAATTGTAAAAATGTAATTGTCAATTTTTCAAAAAATCGAATATATGTACATTTGAGCTAAAAATGTAATATTACTGTCTCTTTTTTTCCATTGCGCAATAGTTACAAGGATAGTAATATCACATTATTAACTCAAATTTTTACAATATATATTTTACACTTAAAAAATTAGCATGATACTATTCGATAAAGCAACATTTCAGTTTTAAGAATTTGTTTTTTTAATTGTATAATGATTTTTAATGGCGTTATGAGCAATCAAAGTCAAAATGCTCCTTTTTACTTAACTCGCGAATAACACAAGAACAAAAAATCGTACAAACATTTAAAAAAATGATTTTATAAGGAAAACTTCAAACTTTCACGATAGAGATTATCGAAAATTTTCGCAAATGTTTTTTGACACGTGACAGACTCACAAAATTAGAAAAAAAATGTCCCTTTTTCTCAGTTTGTAATTTTCTATATATAAGAATTACAAAACTCAAATAAATTCAAAAAATATGGTAACCATTCGAAAGTAGAGATTTTAAGATTTAAAATCTTTTTTTTAAATTTCGATTTTGATTATTTTTTATAGATAAAATTTTTAAAGATATTGTATATATACAATTTTGAAAAAATAACAAAATACCGTAGAACTTTCCCTTTAACCCAATATTTATATACCAACTTTAATAATTTAGTATAATTTTATATATAAAGTGTTATTATCTAAATATTGCTAAATTGATATAGTTAATAAGTTTTTATCAATTTAAACTTCATTCTTTTTTTTTTAATTAGTCCGGCAGACATCCTAAAAATAGCTTACGGAATAACATAGAAGAAAACAATTACAACATCAAACATAACTACAATGTCGACGATGACGACGAGAATGACGACGACAACGACGGCGACGACGATGACGATGACGACAACGACGACGACAACGATAACGGTGACGACGATAACGACATTAATGACAATGACGACGATGATGACGACGACGGCGACGACGCCGGAGGCGACGGCAACAACCAGAACAATAATGATAATAACGGAATTCGTGATTTTTGGGTAAGGTTAAATACATAAAAATAAATACAATAGAAATTATATGTATTATAAATATGCATGAAATATCCTAAGAGTATAAAAATATCATAAAGTGTCTTATAAGATCATAATACGACTACACAACGAATTGGACATAAAGATTTTAAATAGTCAAGCTGGATATTTAATACTGAAATAATTCTATATGAATTCACACATATACTCATATCCAACCCCTCAAACGGCGCGCTGAATTTATTTGTAGTCTTCAAATGCAATTCTAACAGATCTATAGAGCAGTAATAATACTATTGACAAGCAATTTAATTATATTAATTCTCATAGGCATCGATTCTTTTATTATACATAGATTAATCTAAAATTCTGATGCAGGTAAGCATCCTAAAAAATCTGTATATAATTTTGTTACGAAAAATATATTCCCGAACAGAGATCTAATCCGAATCTTTTGCATTCTGTGCGAACGCCCTAAACCTTGGACCATCGAAGCCTTAATAATATTCTTCGTAATAACTTATAGACAGTGTTGGGTAGTAGGTATCTCAATACATTTATCTATATCATGTATCTAGATACATGTATAGAAATACATTTTGTATATCTAACCTATATCCGAAATAAAATTAAATTCGAGTATTTGTACGAGGGCGAATCAAATATGAACCAGACTTTTGCTTTAGAACATTTATTGGCACAGTAAATAAAATTTTGAATACACCTTATTTTTCTATATAATCTCCTCTTTTATTCACACATTTTTCCCACCGAATCGGAAATTTTTTAATTCCGTCATCAAAGAATGAATCTGATCGCGTCTGTAACCAATTGCGCACGAACGTTTCCGCGGTCGGCGTGTATGGGTCTCATTTTGCATTGACTCTTGGCCATCGGAAAACTTTTTGTGCCAGTCGTAGACTTGGGTCCTTGAAAGCGTTTTTTCAGCGAACTGTGCAGTTAGTCGATGCAAAATTTCGGCAGGTTTTACGCCCTCCCGCGACAAAAATTTAATAATAATGCGTTGCTCAACAGACGTGTGCACTTCTTGTTCAGACATGATGCTACTAACAGCCAATCTGCTCTGGCGAGCCGAACCGATTTACTCCCCTCCACTTTACATCCCCACTCAACATATATCAAGACGTCACGTTACTCACTTCGGCTGCTTTCCTTTTAGGAGACACAGTCGACACACTTGACACAAATCGACACACGTCGCTTTCCATTTAC